TACACCCCAGGAAGCTGCAATGAACATGACTCAAAGGCTAGGAAGAAAAAGATCTCTTATAGTTGTAGGAGTACAGGAACCCGAAGGATCCAACCAGGATCAGTGGAAAGGGAAGGACGGAGCAACGGCGACAAAGATCTTGGAGGACCTGGATATGGCAAGGGATAATGGCAACAAAAAGAAGGTTTTCAGGCTGGGCGCTTACAAGAAGGAAATGAAACGACTAGTAAAGTTAGTGTTTATAAACTAGGCAACGAAAGAGGAAATCCTGTCAAGGAAGAGAAAGTTTATGAGACTAGAGGGATACATGGATGTTTTTCTGCAGAGCGACATGATGAGAGAAGAGAGAAGGAAGGCTAAAGAAGAAAGAAGATAATGCAAAGGTGGGGGGGGGGAACAGGGGGAGGTGAGGTGGGAACAGGGGAGTCACAGGACGTGGTGCAGTGTCTCCAGTAACCTCAGAGGGGAATGTGAATCCCCTCAAGTATGATTGATTGATGAAGATTAAGCCACCCAAAAGGTGGCACAGGCATGAATAGCCCGTAAGTGGTGGCCCTTTTAAGCCATTACCAGTATCAATAGATGATACTGGAGATCTGTGGAGGTGCGACTGCACCCTGCGTGACGCGAGATGTCTCCCGTGCCCTCAAGTACATAGATTTGGACATATATAGGCAGGAGTGAGGTGAAGTGAAGTACAGTGACAAATATATGAATAGGATTGAGTGGATATAAATAGAAGCTGCATTGTACGGGCCAATATGCCCATACGTTGATATTAATATCACAAGATAGTGAATATTAACTCGGGATTAGTGAGACAAATGTGTATCAATGATCCTACTCAAATCGTCCTCTAACTTATCAATCAAATATGGATCTAAATTATATAAACCATTGCTAATGTTCAAATTACCTTATTTTGTTATCTTTATTAAATCACATTCAATTATGTTCCTATTGAAAGTATTTTCGTAATTAAACAATACATGTATATCAAAAAGTTTCAAGGCCTTGACAATATTTTCAAACCCAGAAAATTATGGTAAACATAAAACATGTTTTCTTTGGGCGAATAGAACCTTTCTCACTGCATATATTATTATAATATGTACGACGTGCTTAGCTACGACAAACTTCCAAAAAACTCAATGGGTAACAAAGCTTGAGACCAATCGAATCAATGTTCTTAAACTCTTCATCTAAGAATTCTGGACTAATAACCCGGAGAGTTCTTAGATAAATAGAGGAAATAATAGATTGTTTCACATTGTATCTATACCCTGAGAAATAATGAACATAATAATAATTAATTACCTACGAATAAGTTATCTTATTTTATCCCGACTATCCCCCACTCCCGTCCCCTCGTCCTCCCCACCATTCCCCACTCCCTCGTCTGATGCGGTCCCGAATGATCTGATGTTCCCATCACTGAAAAATAAGAAGAACAGTTAAAAAAAACGAAATGAAACAACAATGAAAAAAACTATACTCACGAAATGAACGGTATGGTAAACAACACAGCTCAATTCCAACTCAATATCACACAAAATAATTAAATCAAAAGGAAAATAAATCGAAATTTATGAAAATTCAATTTATCAATGCAATCAGAAACACTGAAATGGAATCGTAACATGTTTAGAACAGTGTGTGTTGCTTTTACGTTCAACAGATAATGCTGGTTAAAAAAACAAACAAACATGTTTTTACCTGTCACAGGTGTGGCATCTATATAGTAGGTACATAATAACATGTGCGTATATGAATGCAACGTTGTGTCAAAATTTCAAAGGAATCGGTAAAGAGGTTTCAGAGATGTTCCTCACATGAAAACTCACATGGAAATTACAGTTAAAAAAAAAAGTTTTTAGTTTTTACCTATCACAGACGTGACATCTACATAGTAGGTATATAAAAACACACTCGTATGCAAATGGAACGTTGTGTCAAAACTTCAGAGTAATCGGTGAAAAGCTTTCGGAGATTAGCAAAAACAAATATGAATGTTAATGTTCGTTTATGAACAAACGAACATTAACACTTATTTATATAGATATATATAATGCAAGGTATGTATTCTTGCACATCACACATGAGCACCAATTAGGAAAAGGAAAGAGAGGGGAAGGGAAGAGAGGGGAAGGGAAGAGAGGGGAAGGGAAGAGAAGGAAGGGAAGAGAGGGGAAGGGAAGAGAGGGGAAGGGAAGAGAGGGGAAGGGAAGAGAGGAAGGGGAGAGGGAAGACAAGGAAGGGAAGAGAAGGGAAGGGAAAAGAGGGGAAGGGAAGAGAGGGGAAGGAAGAGAGGGGCAGGGAAAAGAGGGGAAGGGAAGAGATGGGAAGGGAAGACAAGGAAGGGAAGAGAAGGGAAGGGAAAAGAGGGGAAGGGAAGAGAGGGGAAGGAAGAGAGGGGAAGGGAAGAGAGGGGAAGGAAGAGAGGAGAAGGGGTAGAGAGGAAGAATGACAGAGCGAGTATTGTCTGGACTAGCACCACTTCCCATCCTCTCTATTGTTTACCCAGACAAAGGAATCAAGAAAAATGGAACTTGTGCCTTTTATCTCGAATTATATTGAGCCGGAAATTGAAGAGTGTTACAAGTTCAGTGAGAGAAAGAGACAGAGAGACTGAGAGAGACAAAGCCAGAGAGAGACAGAGGACACATCTGAAAGGAAAGTGCCGACTATCCAATCTGTCCAGGAACCTTAACGAGGTGTGAAGAGACAGAGCGGATGAGTCATTAAGAGCCGAGACGGAAGGTAGGGAGACAGTAAGATAAGATAAAAGGAAGGAACGAACCAGACTTAACACAACGAAATTACAGAAGGCTTAATAGCGAAAGAACAAAATTGAGATAGACAAATAGTGCGAAGAACAGAAGGGAGAGGAGAAGGGCGAGACTGGTACTATAGACCACACCTGTCATGACAGTCACGACACTGAGGAGTGTTGTGAGAGGTTAGAGGCAACAGTAGGAGAGCCACCACCACACTGGTTGATGTGAGGCCTCTTGTTCATGACACACCTGTCGACCAGCCGGTGTCTGTGACCAGTAGACGGGTGCTGACCACACTTGCTGGGGGTGCTGCCCACACTTGCTGGGGGTGCTGCCCACCTCCATACTTGCTAGGGATGCTGCCCACCTCCACACTTGCTGGGGGTGCTGCCCACACTTGCTGGGGGTGCTGCCCACACTTGCTGGGGGTGCTGCCCACACTTGCTGGGGGTGCTGCCCACCTCCACACTTGCTGGGGGTGCTGCCCACACTTGCTGGGGGTGCTGCCCACCTCCACACTTGCTGGGGGTGCTGCCCACCTCCACACTTGCTGGGGGTGCTGCCCACCTCCACACTTGCTGGGGGTGCTGCCCACCTCCACACTTGCTGGGAGGTGCTGCCCACCTCCACACTTGCTGGGAGGTGCTGCCCACCTCCACACTTGCTGGGAGGTGCTGCCCACCTCCACACTTGCTGGGGATGCTGCCCACCTCCACACTTGCTGGGGGTGCTGCCCACACTTGCTGGGGATGCATAACACAAGGGTGACCACCCCACAACAACAACAAAAAGAACACAAGAGTGACCACCCCCTCTGCCCCATTATATCGAGGATCAACATCCTTGCGGCCCGGTCTCTGACCATGCCCTAGGGGAAGGGCGTCTGAGGGCCTCAAAGTTATAATATGATTCGCTGTTTTAAAGCCATAACAACATATATTTTTAAAGTTCTAATACAGTTTTTACAATATATTTAACTATAACATGTTCCTATAGATTAAAACTTTTCCTGAGAGCTGCAGGTGAGGGTGATGAAGGAGGACTCTTGGAGACACTACGGGTGTTAACTCAGGTCTTAACATGATATTAACGGTGCTAATATATTAACATGACATTACTAAGTCTTAATATATTCACAAGGGAAAGTGTTCACTTTCGCAACACAATTATGGGGAAAGTTTGTTGGAAAATTTGCAATTTGGCGACAAACTTTTGTGGTTGTAAAGTTTGTCTTCCAGTTAAGTGGCCATAATGGTGTGTACTTACTCATGTGTACTTACATATTTGTGCCTGCAGGATCACGCTCTAGCTCTTGGACCCCGCTTTTCTAGCGGGGAGTTTTCTAATGCAATAACTCCTGTCCTGTTTCCCTATTATGTCTGCTTTTAAAGTTATGAATGAAGTTAGCCTCAACACTCTGCTCCTTTAGGTTGCTCCATTTACTTACTACCTCTTACGATAAATGAAAACTTTCTAACATCTCTATGACACACCTGAATCTCAAGCTTCCATCCGTGCCCTCTTGCTCTATTGTTATTCATTGTAAATATTTCCTCTGTTTCCACCTTGTCAATCCCTTTAAGTATTTTATACGTCTGTATCATGTCCCCCCTCTCCCTCCTCCTTCATAACGTCGTCAAGTTTAGTTCCTTCAGTCTGTCTTCGTACCTCATCCCTCGTAGCTCTGGGACTTCGTTGCGACCTTTTGCACCAAAACGAGCTTCCTTATGTGTTTTTTAGATGGGGGTTCCAGGATGGTGCGGCATACTCTAAGACTGGCCTCACATAGGCGGTATACAGTGATCTGAAAGCCTCCTTATTAAAGTTTCTGAAGGATGTTCTGACTTTTGTCAGAGTCAGATCACAGGGCCCCGTCTAGGAGCGGGACACAGAGTGTTAAGAATGTTTTACATACTCGCCGTTCGTTCCCTAGTTGATTATGCAGCGCCTGCCTTACTCACTCTTTCTCCTGGTCAGTGGGCAACCGTTGAGGTTATTCAAAACAATGGGAATGCGAGTCATAACAGGGGCTCCCAGATGGACTAAAATACTGAACCTAAGACTAGAAACAAAGCTAACGTCAATTGAAATAAGGGTAAAAGGTATTTCTGCGTGCATGCTGACCAAGATATTGACTAGACCTAGAATTAGTTCACTTAAAGATATAATCACTG